TGCGTTAAGTCTGTGAAGAATATAGAAGCTCTGATTTGACATTAGAGTTGAAAATCGGATTTTTGTTTCATATGTCGAGTACAGGAGATTTCTACACTGCTTTCAGAGTAATGAAGGTCTTCTTCGCTTTGACGATCCTGCCTGATTTCGAGAACCTCATCCGTGCATCCTACACTTGAAATGATGCTACCTAAGTCAGGTAAGTAAAAAACATTACTTCCTTTATTTTTTGTTTTATTTTTGTTAGTTGTGTACTTTCACCAGCCCTGTCTTCTCCATGTTCACTAGAAGTCCTGTCTTGATTTCTCTTTTGCCAATCTGTTGGTTTTCGTTTGTTAATCTTCAAGTTTGTGCGACATAAGGTATGAATCATGTGTAAAGTGCAGATCTTCCAGCATCTTCTTGTCGGTCCAGCATATGCCTATCTGCCCGCACCTTGTGGTCCGACGCATGATCCATTCCACCACAATGAGGAATGCCATCACTAATAGTAGGTAGTCTTGTCTTACTCCTGTCTTCAGTTTTCTAAACATCATTAGCGTTGTAGATCCATTGCGGGGGGGGGAGGGGGGGGGGTCGAATTCTCCAAATTAATACTTTTGTTCAAATCACTTTTCGTTTACACATTTATGGAATAGAGCCAGTGTAGGTTAGTTACCTCTTCAAAGAAAATGACACTATAAGAGACACATGCTTTTAACCCAGTATATATGAATGATCTATAGATCTACCGCTTTTACAGTTATTATTTTGCTCATCGTCAAAATTCAGCACTTAAGTAACGACATTTTACCTAACTGAGATCAACAGAAATAATACCTTAGTGACTTACCGTTATACTCTGACTTGTAAGAATTTGATAACCCATTGTAACTTATATTTATGTACGTATCTGCGGTAAATATGACAATCTGACAAACTGTTTAGATGAACTTAATGTAATCATACTTTTGATTGATTTTGTTTGTTTTATTTTGTGCCACTTAGCCAGTTTGCTAATATTCTGGTCGACAGGCACATGGACTCATGTGAAAAATGGGCCAAGTCCATTTTATCTAACTCACACCACCCTCTTCACTCACAACTCTCAGTAGTACAACTGGATCTCATCTTTCCAACTCACATCATTAATAGGTGCAACATTTTCTTTCTTTCTTTTCCTTTTCTTCCTCTCTCTTTTTTTCCGTTATATGCTGCTTTGTTTCTTTCTTTCGCTTACGCCAGTTAATATGACAGTTCCCACTTTTCTAACACCTTCAAACACTGTTCAGCTTTACCTTTGCTACCGACATGCCAATGTGTTGTTGTAATAATGAACTGTGATTTCCTTAGTCTATGTAGAATTCTATTTATTGATAATGTACTAACTGGATGCAATACTGTAGTAAAAATGCTGAGAATTCCATTCTGTATCACATGTACTGTTTTGGAATAAAGCAAATTATTATTATTATTATAATCCATCTAACACGATACAATTTGCCTATAGTTTAAGTCGATACACTCTGCAACTGCTCATACAAAAGAACACGAAATAGAGCTGCGAAAGTTTTAGAAGACTTCTTTTGTATTATCTGTTGAAAATCCTATAAACACTATAAATATTACTTTCATTACCTTAATTACATAATGAGATATGCGTTATCTTTCAGGTGATCAAAATAGCTTATAAATTGACTTCTGTTATGTAGGTGTATTAATTAGAAGTAAGGATTTAATTCACAACAGTGTTAGACATTTAACCCACCCATTCGTTTTTCAACCAATGACAGTCTACAGAAATAGCCTGATAGATATATGAAAAAGGGGAAGTCAACTAAACAAGTTGTAAGATAATGGTCTAATAACCTTGAATTATATATTGGTTCAGACTGTTCACAGTCAGACGGTAAAACACTTGTCCAACTATACTATGGTTTACATGACATTCCATCAATATTTCATTTCAAAAGTGGAAGATAGGAATACTACTAAAAGAAGGCATATATATATGTATATTAGAAATGCACTTATATTTCCTTCAAAAATCAAAAATTCCGTTTCTGGAACTAACAAAAAGAACTGATGGGAGTCTAAAAAGATCGATCCTCGGAAAAGCTACTTGGAATGGTCAACTAACAAACTTCTTTAGCTGGGTACCCAGTCAACAAAAGCGGAATTTAATTCAATCACTTGCCACTCGCATCCCACGCATCTGCAGTCCCGACGTTCTGGAAACAGAATCAGATATTCTGAGAGAAATCTTCATCCCAAATGGATACCCAATAAGATTTGTTGACAAAACTATCAAACCAAGAATTCGGAGAAACGAAACTTTAATTGCGCCTAAAAAGAAACTCTAGATGAACTTGGATTTCAAGAAAGACTTAACAAACGATATTCTCAAGAGAAGGACAACATCATATGTGAGAGGAATATTCTTTGCAGAAACCCTAAGAATAGTGTTCTCCAGTCGCCCAATGATCTGCAGAAGCCTCAAGGACTAGTCCCGCATCTGGCCACTTCTATGTGCATATATCAGTTCACCTGCTGCTGTGGAGCCACGTACATCGGTCGTTCGGCGCGCACCCTATCCAAGAGGATTCAAGAACACTATCCAGCATGGTTGCGAAAAGGCAATAATGGTGCAATAAGGAGTGCGATAATTGAACATTTGGTTAACACTGATCACTCCATTTCAGCAAACGCCTCCTTCAAAGTAATCTTCAGAGTTAAGAACAACCTATCAAACGCAATACTGTTTCGCCTTCTTTGTATCACTGAAGCTCTGGCCATTCACATAGAAAAACCGGAGCTGTGCATACAAAAGAGGATTACTCAACCAATTCTACTGTCTTGGTAACAACTTTCTTGATTTGATTTTTTTGATTTTGATGACTTAATTTTGTTTCTTTGCCTGTTCTTTAATTGCTTATAATTCCTGTATTCATTTAGAACTCTTACGTAATTTCGTATTATCTACTTTGTTCCTATGTGCATCCTGAGTAAATCTCACTCATCAAACTATTCATATTATTACATAATTTCTTTTAACAACTGTTTGTGACAACTCATCACCTTTGTTACTACCCTAACTTCACTAACAACTAATTTTCTTGACTGATTTTGTATTACGTAACTCCAATTATCAATCTTCACCTGTTTAGTTTAAATAACTATAACCAATTATATTTTTGTTTGATAAACTTATTGTACACATACATACAAAATAACACATATTTATTTGCGATTGTAAAGCTTAGTGTGAGTGAATTTGCCGAAAAGAGACTCTTCGCTGATCTACGTGTTTTGTTGTCATCAATGCCTGGATGGGGATTATACATGAATTGAATACACAATGTCATACAACATTGATAACTGGATGACATTTCGAGAACAATGTGTTGCTCATTATCACATCTGTCACTGTGTGTCACATCAAGTAGGCCTTATTCATCGTGAAATGATGTCCTACCATAGTGACTGAATTCCACATCTACATAGAATAATATGCTCAGTGCATCTGGTCACATTGCTCAACCTTGTAGTCTGTGTAACAAAACAAATGTGTGATAACTTGGTTTCACTGGACACCAGGAACAGTCATGTCCAACTTATTCAGTAATAAGTAGGTGGTAGAATCACTAGCCAGATGCAGTAGGAATCCCTGGATTTGAGAGGTAAAGTGGTAGGCTTCGATTCTCTGGAATACTTGACTGTCGTCAAAATCAGGCTAGACGACAACAGCAGATTCAATTGTTCCATAAGGCTGCTTCCACATCCACTCAATGCTTCAGTGCACATTCATCCAATCATGGGATTTCGAGTTATGGCTTTCCAATTTTTCGTTTATATGATAATATGCTGGACACAAATCATTATTCATACAGCCATCATATCTCTACTTCTCAATGATGCTTGCGACAAGTCAGTTGGAGGAGATTCACTATTCACTTATTTATCTGTTCGTACAACCGATCATGTGGTAATTTATTTAGGTGAAAAGGATGTTCACGAATGCTTGGTTTATGACTTACTAACCACAGGATTTGTTTGAATACTACATAAGGACACTTTGAAAGCAACACTGAAGATGTCGTCCACAAGAACAATGAATGCTTCACATCCGAATCATCAAGCTCAGAGGACACAATAACGCCGAAGATGTTCGTTTCGACATCATATCTTCTGCACCAGATTCCAAAATGTGAACATGCATGAAAGAAATATCGAGAGACGTGAAGTGTTGCTGATGATCCATATTCCACTCAATCGAAACACAAGGGAACAATAATAATTCAGTGATTTTAGAAATAAATGGAAAATGTCTGTGTCCACCTGATTTGCGTGCTATCATAATTCAGACTCAACATTTCACACCCATATCTATAGAGACCAGTTCTGGTGGAAGGGTGGTGGCTAAACACGCAGTCAGAACACTTCATCCCTCCTCAACCCTACTAATGTCTTCTTCAATCAACACCTCACGGAATAATTCAGAAATAATTATCAGTATCATGTGTTCGTAAGGTCGAAGTGCAGTTCACGTGATTGTGTATTTCTTCCGTATCTGGAATACAACAGCATCACATACATACAAAACAATCGTCCTTCGAACAAGGACAAAAACATACCGAATAAGTGTGATCACTTGAGAAATAAAATGCTAACAGAATCGAGGTGGCATTCGATTCGTAGCTTTCCATGCTAGTTATTTTCCCCTCTTCAAACTAATTCGCTAATTTCGAGATGAATAATTCATTTCCAGTGTGAAATTGCACTGACGACCTTCAAGTGTCTCATTCAGGTGAGACAGACAAATAACATACTTGATTGATCGAGCTAAGTCTCACCACAGGTTTCAATGAACACATTTCAGTGGATATGCATGCATGTGAAAATTCACTCTACACTGATTGGTTAGCAAACCAGCCAATCAAATAGGCGACAGACTTTGTCACTTTGAGAAATCGATTGAACAGCAGTGCAACGTTCATTTGATATTTAAATACGACTTCTTTGTGAGCGTGAAATTACCTGAGAATGGATAGGGAATCAAGTGACGAGGTGAGTGTACTTGTCAGTGTGATTTTGTGATGAGTCAACTGGAATCCCGAAGTGAATTGTATTTCTTGTCAGATAGATTATTCGAAATTGAATTAATGATATAAGAATCGTTCAATTGACTCCACAGTACCACATCACTTGGTCTCTATTTCTGAACTGTCTGTCGTTGATAGTGTGTAGAAAGGGGAAGCACGTGATTGAGGGAAACATTTCGCGTCTGTGAATTGATTTACCACAGCTGTCTTTGTTGTCGTTGTTGACTGGATGAAGAAAGATGCTGTAGTTGACCTCTCTCTGTCTCTGTTTCTGTCTCTCACCCAGCCTCTCCTTCTCTCAACATAGCTGTATTAATTTTCGATGTTTCCACGCTGTCCATTCCACTTGTTTGATTTCACTGAAGTGCACAGATCGGGATCAGTTGGATTGTCAGGAGAAAGTGGTTAAGCCAGATATCGAATGGTTGACGCCAGTGAGTTAAATGCTGTGGAAGATGAGCTTGGCCATTGTTGTGCATTCACTGGCGGATAATCGCACAGTTGTGTGGAAGTGGAGTGAAGATATTAAACAGTGATACAGTTACGTGGAGCGACAGAGAGACTGTGTGTGTGCAATCAGGAGACATTTCCTTATGGGGTAAGCAGAATTCGACTGAGACTTTTGCTTTCACACAAATCAAAGTTGTGAGATGATGAGCTCAGTTGACCGTTTCCTGAACTGACCATACAACAGGTGGTGTGAAGTGGATGCGAAGGAGATTCCATAGGGATGTCATCTATCATCTTTGGATTGCTCCACTGAATGCAAAATGTACATTCAATGTGCATCTCAGAAATAGTTGGTTTAGGTATGCAGTTGGGATCCCAGCATACACCATGGGATCATCTACCCCTTTACGAATAAGACAAATGGTTTCTGGTAGTGAGACGTTAGTCAGGAGGGAGTCGACATGACGATATATCATCTGCTTATTGGAAGCATTGATGTTCTGCATAAAATGCATGAACCTGAAGGTAGTAGGGAGGAAGTAGGAGTTTTTAGGGTGTCAGCTGACAAATTAGCTAATGCATGAATGAAGCGTCCGTATATTCCCAGAACCGTCTGAAGTGGCAATTCGGCTTTGTGTATCTCCCATAGGTCATGAAGCCTGTTCATGACACTATTCATCCTGTTGGTCTAATCGTCTCAATATCCTCTTCGTGAAGTGAGTGATTATTCTCCAATCAGTTAAAGGCATCTGCGAATTGCCTCACAACTACTTCATTTCTGCTTGATTCTACAATGGGTGTTGAGGAGGTTTTCGATGACCACCGAGTGCATACTCGTCATTTTGTCAGCATTTCCAGTTTACAGCTATGAGTTCGAGGCATAGATGAAATACACGACTGCACGTCTGTTGATAGTCGACTTTGTCATGTTGGAATGGGAATTCGCCGAAAAGAGACTCATCGCTGACCGTCTTGTTGCTATGTCATGTTTGTCATGTTTGTCTAAGACACTGATTTGGGGTAAGAAGAAATTTAGGGGAAAGTGAATAGCTCCTGGGATCTCTGTTCCCACTCAAAACAACTTCAGATCAGATGAGTATAGCTGTGGAGTATTTGTGTGAAGGGGCTTTGGTAGTGAACATACGTGATCCAAGGTTGCAGATACGCCTTGCTGACGAGTGCCAACTAGCACGAAACCTAGGTCCTAGGCTTCCTGCCGATTGCCTCCAACCATCTAACATCACGAATCGAAGACTGTCAGGACACAAGCATGAATGTTAACGTGGCCGATGGGTACCTAGAATGTCCGCTTTCACTTAGTGTTCACAGCTAGACAGACCACAATTTCCCTTTTGTGATAAATACAAACCGCCTCATTCATGTCCATGAAATACACTGATGCTTTTCCCTGTTTCAGGATTCCAGTGGAAACAGTGAAGACGAAGTCAAAACATCGGTGGATGAAGTGACTGACGAAGTGAAGGGCTGTGTCAATGTCGACTGGCCAGAGTCCGATTCTAATGAAGATGTCAAAGATGATGAATTTCTGTTGGTGCTTGACAAGACGGCCATGCCCAGCTTCGTTACTTCTTATCCGACTGATGATAAGAAATCATGGGACAAGTTTGCTGAGACAGCTGCTGCTTATGTGTACAAGTCTGTTGGTGAGAGTGTATCACAACCATTACGCGTATGGCTAAGCAATTCGGCGAGTGCTGCGATCCTCCACGGACTCCTTGGAGAGTTGACCACGTCGACAGAAGCAGGTCGAGGGCGTGAAGACACACGCTCTCGTGAAGAAGCAACAACTGAAAATATGTCAATTGCGGACGCATGTCTACATAATCGTCAGGATGGTCATTGGTGTTATGGCAGATGGACGGTGGACAATGTGGCAACTAGTTTGGAGATGAAGGATGTGTTGAACTGTGAGATGGCGAATGCATGTGTCTCAGTGATGATCGCCGCCGTGATCAATTATTTTCAGGAGAATCGCTACATACCGACCGGATTGATGAAGGACAACTATGCGTCGAGAATACTTGAAAGTGGTGTGATGGAAAAGTATGGTGTGAAAGATGAATCCGATAAGATGAAGGCGATGTTGATCACTGGTCGTTGGGTCTCGAAATTGATCGTTTTCCGTAAGGCTACGAAACACCGACAACTTGTGCATCCGATCAGACCTGTCAAGCGGATTGGTTACAAGCAGTCTCTGAGAAAACTCGATATCAGCAAACATTTGTTTGATGTACCTGCTGGCTTCACAGATACACGGATTGCCTACATGATTGCTGATAGGATGGTCCGATCTGTGTGCATCCCCTTCTTCAAGAAATTCCATGAACTGATTGAATTACGAAAGCAGTACTGTCGAATAATTAGTGATCCATTCCACTACCACATACATGGTGATTATTTGACCGGTTCACCAAGGACGACAATTATTGACACATCGAAAAACCTGTTCGGTCGACTCATCACGTATCTGAGAGTCTTCGAACCGGAAAGCGAACTACTGCTTTATTCGCGTGGGTGTGAGAAGCACTACTTGGATTACAGTGATCGTTGGGAGGATATTCTGCGTGACATTCACGATGAGATATATATGCCGAGTGGAAAGAATTTGACAGAGGTTCTGAGAGAAGCCGGAAACATTCCGGACCAATTCCCACTGAACGGTGAGGAGATGAAAGCCTGTTGGAAGGAATATGGTGTTGGCGAGAAGATTCAACAATCGATCCTCAAATATTACTTGACGAGCTCACAGAGCTAACTTTTCATCAACTAAAGTGTCGACATCTCTGATGTCTATTTCAAGTGTTTGTCGATCACTACTGTTACATCTCAAATAAATATTTATCCCATCATGTGTTTTGTTTGTTTCATTCTCCTTTGAGAATAGTGACACGTGGTGGTGATGGAGTGACAGAGTGTATGAGTGAGTGAGCGTATGATAGACTTTGTGTTGTCATTTCCTAGTAGGGTAATCTTAATATTCGGCTTTCAAAAGGGGATGATATTTTCGACGCGAACTATAGATGACGATGTGAATAGTTGGTCGTGTGATCATGTCCATTGACTTTTGAATACATCAGGCTGATATAGTGACTATGTGTGTTATTCATTCTCGATAGTGTATTCCTGATGTGTGCATTGTGACAGTGAATTCGAATGCCCACATAGACTGCAGATGGTATGAACAGTAGTAGGTGTTATGCCACTGGGAGTAGACAGTATAAGCTTAGGATACTCGTATAGTTGATATAGAGAATAGCAGTAGTTTAGCGACGAGTCTCTTTTCGGTGAATCTGAAATGTATATGGTTATTTTGTATATGTGTGTACAATAAATTTGTCAAACGAAAATAGAGTGAGTAAGCTCTTGGTGGAGTTACGCAATACAAACTGCGTTCATAGCGATTGTGTGTTCACGTGAGAAGGTAGTAATAAAGTGATGAGTTGTCACAAACGATTGTTAATGAAGAGTTACGTAATAACATGGATAGTTTGGTTAATGTTTTGTGCTCAGTGTGTACATGGAAATGAAATATATTAGAATACGGAATTACGTAAGAGTTTTGAAAGACATGCAAACAAGGAAGAGCTAAGTCAAATCATCAGAGTTTTTATCGTGATAGTAGAAGTGACTGAATAATTTTCTTTTGTATGCATAGTTCTGGTTCCTCTAACTGAACGACTAGGGCTTCTGCAATGCAGAGAAGACGGAAACGTATTGTCTTTGGGAGGTTGTTCTTCACTTTGTAGATTGCTTTGAAGCAGGAGGCATTTGTTGAGATGGAATGACCAGTGTTGACGAGATGTTCGATTATTGCACTCCTTAAACGGTCACTTCTTCGTTTCTGCAGCCACACTGGATAGTGTTCTTTGGTCGCTTTTGACAGGACGCGCGTCGATTTACCGATACACCTGGTTCCACAGCCACAGGTGAACTGATATATACACATGGAAGTTGTCAGGTGCCAGATCTTGTCTTTTTAACCTCTGAAGATCAGCGGGCGACTGGAGAAGACTATTCTCAGTGTTGCTGTGAAGAAAGTTCTTCTTGAGGAAGTGGAAATTTTCCTGCTAAGGAAATAACTGAGTAGGTCAGCTTTGAAATCAAGGTTCATATGAAGTATCATTTTTGGCACGGATGGCGTCTCTTGCTTCTGGATTTTCTGTTTAGTGCTTTTGTCTATGTCTACCGTTTTGTATGACGGTTTCTTCCAGGAATTGTGGTTCTTCTTGCAGGGTATCAGGGCTGCAGATGCGTCGGACACGATTAGCAAGAGATCTAATTAGTTTTCTTGTTCGACTGATTGGTATCCAGTTGAAGAAGCTTGTCAGCTGGCCGTTCCATGTGGGTTTCCTATGGATGGACCATCTTAAAGTTCCGTCAGCTCTTCTGGTAAGTTCAACATCAAGACAAGGAATTTTAGATCCTTTTTCTATTTCAAGAGTAAAACTTTGTAGCTGAATGGCAGTTGTTGAATATTTGTAGTAACTGATTAAGACCGTGACCATCATCACAGATAATAAAGATGTCATCCACATATCTAGCATACAATTGGAAATTGTCGATAGTTGATTCGAGTAGCCATCCTCGGGGTCTGACATGAAGCAGTCTGCTAGCAAAGGGCCGAGTGGAGATCCTATTGCGATCTCGTTTTGTTGTCTGTAAATAACCAGTGCTCTGTGTTTTCAAAAGAAACAAGTCCAGACCCTACTACTGCACTGGCCCTCAGTAGAAACTATAAACACATGAATATGTAATATTACCTTTTCTAATTCTTCTGACATTCAGCTTATTTTATTATTGATATAAGTATATAACTTGGGCACTGTGGTAGAGTGTAACTCCATTATGGATAAGATTTTATTTTGATAAATCATATGGTGTTACACAGTAATATTAACTGATGACGTTTCCAGCACAAATTATTGCACACAATCATATCAAGTTGATGCTATTCAGCTGTAATCTATCAATATTATTGATTCGATGTGATTTAAACATTAATGTCGTTCATAACACTAATTCATTCATTCACTATAATGTATATATAATTGTATAGCCTGATGATGAATTTATCGAAAAAGTAGTCTCTGTTCAGTATCCACTCTTTTGAAAATTTTAATGGGCATTTATAATCAGTTAAATTGAAAGATGTCACGAAGCGAATAGTGGTACACCCGTATTCTAACAGGTTTTAAAATACCAGCTAACCATTTCGCTCATTATTCTCTCTGTCTGTCACCTAGAATGGACTAGCAGTGTTGGCTGGATGTTATGAAATGACATGAGTGAAGTGTAAGTCAAATAGGACGCCACTATACCTAACACTCGAGTCAGACACATGGCTACTTATTTCTATCACCAAACGACTATGAAGTATTTGTATTCCACTGAATTATAACAAGTCCACCTCAACTTCTATTCACTCTCCACTTATTCCACTGTCAGTGTGGTATGCATCTTCAAACTAGGTAACATTATTTATTCACAAGAAATGTGTGTTAGTCAATTGAGTTGAATTCAATTCTACACTGTCGTCAAGTTTTGGAGAAGAGTAACGACGGAGCATGTAGTAATTTGAAGAACGATAGTCAATCTCATCTCGTGATAAACTGAAACGAGCTAATGTCAGATTATCGAGGGATTCTATCATTGGGAAGCCTGATTAACACACATGTGACATAAGCAACTAGTGATAATATTTCAATGTGTAATTGATGGATAATCGAGACGAATACTAGTGAAGGAATCAGTCGACTCCAAGTGTAATGCACTCCTCAGTTCATACTACTTATAAGTTGACAAAGGTGGATGGGAAGTTCTGAGAGGATATATGGCTCAATGAATCAGTTCACAATTGTCAGGTTCATTGCCTTTGTTAGAGGACAAATAGGTGGGGATTACACTCCACTGGAGAAACAAAACAGTCTCATCCATCTCATGAAGTAATGGTGCAATGGCAGATCATTGTGGTGTTCGTGTGGAAAGCGTCGTCAACAGGCAACGTAGATATTCTTCTTACAAGTGTACTCCAAACTCTTCCAGCGTTAAATGGTTTCGAGTGAAGTCTCTCCAACTTTCTCCATGCTATCCGTTCTTCTTGTGTCTTGGGGTCCACACTCTCATCACACTGTATCTATAGCCGAAGTCGTCTGGTGTTAACACCTCACTGTTTATCTCCTCCTCCTTTTCATTATACACTCCATCACGAAATCGCCTCTCATCTAGTCGTTTAGTCGTCTGCCAAAGTGATTTGTACTCAAAAACACTTCACAAATGATGAGAATCTCTCACAACTGATCTCCTCACATAAGTAGTGTGATACCATTTCTGTGTAGTGAATTCACCTCCCAACATCATTGATTGTAGTCGTATTGTGTTAAACGAAGATGTTAAGACCTTCTGTTCGTGTCACACATTACTGTATGTGAAGATTGGTGTCTATCCTGCCTTCCCTCTGAGGTGTGTGTATAACAGTTGGTCTGTGCCTCTTGATGAGTTGTACAATGCAGACGAATTCAACCGATATTCTGTATCTCAATATTTTCTTCTGTTTTGGTATTTAGGAGAAATCAGTTGTCTTTCATTTCTAAATGAACATTGTTGTCAGGTGGTTGTAGGCGAGTGTCAGGAATACCTGTACCTGTGTTTCTTGCGGTTCTTCATTAAACCGTTGATCTGGATAGTGGATAATTGGACTTCAGTAAATGAACCTTTTCGTGCAACTTCCACTCCACTATGATCTTTGTCCTGGGAGGTCAACATGTTTGTGTTGGAATGACAGTGATGTGTGTGTGTGTACATGTGCGTGTGGTCCTGCAGTCCATGCACTCTACGTGGAATATTGGATGATTCGAAGTAAGATTTTAATGAGGCCAAATCACTTATTGTACGAACTTCTTAATAGTAGGCTAGTGGGCGATTTAAACTCTCTCCTTCTCACTTCAGCCTCAGATGTCATGAAGCATGAAGAGATCTTTACCTAGCTGCTGAATGAACTACTACTCTCCACTCAACCATCCGATACACGAATTGGCTCTCATCGAGTTTCACATTGGAGGTGCACTAGTTACGAAAGGCGAAGCCGTCTGTCAGTGGTCAGAGAGATTTTCAGTTAGAAAACACAAATGTGAAATATTTTCAGGGGAAGTGTTTCCTGGTGGCTTGAGGTAGGATAGTACGAGTGATGAAATAGTGAAGACATTTTCTCGACCAGACAGAGCTAAACTATTCTGGCTGGAAATGAATGGCAGTCATTCGAGTCACATATACACCAAACGATTTCCAATCATCGGTAGGTGGTTCAATAACTGAAGAGTTGGAATCCTCACATACCCGAGAATTTTCATATCTGAGGAAACTGCAATCCGATATTTAAAGAGGAGGTCTCTATTTATGAAATAGCGTCAAACTCTATCCGAAATCCTAATGGTGGTGGATATCATTACAAAATATGAAGTCTTAACTTCTTAAGTAGAGATGTTCATGTTGATGTACATTTTACAACAATAATTACGTATTTGTTGACAAGTGTATAACTTTTATGATTAATGTTATTCTCTAAGTTTCCCAGTGGAATATAGGGCTTCATCAGGACGTCACCACTTTGCTCTAACTGCTGCTGTCTTCTTAGACTGACCACAGAATTGCCCATTGTCTCCCATCCTCTCCTTCTTACACGATCCGTTCCATTTCACCCTCGAACCAAACCCCCAACTCGTCGTTTCCCACTCGGTTTCTTCTCCACCGATGAAATGGATAGCAATGTCACCCAACGGTCTCCTCAACTTCCATTCGATCAACCTCTATATCATTTGGCACATTT